CGGGCCTGGCACGGCTCTGCCCCTGCCTCTAAGACCCAGGCCCTGAGTGCTCATCACCGGCCCTCCTGGCCCGGCCCTGCTCCCCCAGACGCCCACAGAGCCCTGAAGACAGAGCCCTACCATGCTCAGCGCCCAGCACAGGGCCTGAGCCAGCCTTTGTGACCATGGGGCACCTGAGATAAGTTTCCCAAGGGCACCAGCCTGGCTCTGCCTGTCTTTGCCAGGTGCTTCTGACCCACCCTGTCCCTGGAATCTGGGAGGGGACACCTCAGAGGCCTTCCAGGAGCAGGTGGGGAAGCCCTGACTTCCCCGGGCCCCTCCTGCCTGGTGAAGTCTCCTTTGCCTCCTCTTCCCCATGCCCAGCGGGCCCTGGCATTAGACACCTGGGCGCCTGGGCGTCTGGCAGGTAGCCAGACCCTGGGAGAAGGACCACTGATGTCGGAGCTTAAAGACCTGGGTTTGAACTAGCTCTGAACCCTCTGGCTTCTGACCTTCTCTGAGCCCCAGTTTGTCCCTCTGTGAATAGTATGAAGACTAACGCTTCCCCAGCTCGCATTCCTTGGAGTTCTAACCCACCCTTCCCCACAACCTGGATCCTGTTCCCTGGGGCTGCCTCCCCCAATTAGCCCTCCCTTAGGCCATTTGTGACATCAGCAAGGCTGGAAGGAGGCCACAGAGTGGGGGCCTTGGCTGAGACCCAGCATCTACATTTGGCTGGGTGGTGGTGGCCGCATCTTGCGAGGAAGGAAGGCCCGTCGCATTAATGAATAGGTCGGGCAAGGACTTCGTGGGGCCCTCCCTCTGCTCAGGTCTGGGCTGTGGTAGGGGGCAGGGTTCTCAGCAGAGGCTCCCCTACTTTGGGGAAGAGCCTAAGGCTTACCTGCCTGCACCTTCTCTTTCAACTTCTGCCTTCAGCCGGAAGCTTTTAAAGTGTCGCAGTAATTCAGGATCTGTGACAGTGCTCCTCGCTGGACTGGAAGAAAGGGCTGAGGCCAGGAGGAGGGGCTAAGGAAGAATATTTCTGGGGACTCGCCCCTCGATGACCTGGAAAGGGCCTCCAAGTGGGAAGGTCTCAGACATCCCCTGGGGGCTGAACCTCCCGGGTTGAGGAGAGTTGGCACACTGACCGATGAGTCCCCAGGACCTGGACAGGGTCCGGGGGGGGGGGGGGGGCGCAGCATGGGCTCATCTGCAGAGTCAAAGCACCCGCAAGCATTCTGAGCCCTGCCAGCTACTGAAGCTTGAAGGTATTTTTTCTGGGCTCTGGCAGAGGCCAAGGAATGACTCTGGGGCCAGGTAGGTCAGGGGGCTGGGCTGGGGGTGGGGCTTCTTTGGGCTGCTCCGTCCCAGAGTGGGGCTGTCCGAAGCCTGCCCCATCTGCAGCCATGGGGGCGTTGGGCTGGGGGCAGTGAGGCCCCCCTTGGCAGGCAGATGTTGTGGCCCAGTCTTTGTCTGCCTTAATCTGAGGCACCAGGCAGCTCAGGCTGATGAATAATGGAGCCAAGCTCATCTGCAGATGCCTGAGTTTGAGCTGGACAAATCAGGGATTAGAGGGTCTCTCGCCGGCCTCTCAGCCCCCCTTGCCTCACTTGGGGCTTGCTCAGCCGGAGCCTGGCCGGCTCCGACTATTGAACACCGGCCCGCGATTGGCCTGCTTGGGGAGAAAGTGAGTGCCCCATCCCTGGAGCTCGGCAACCAGCAGCTAGGAGGGAACGGCTGTGTGGAAGAGGCCTTGTGTCAGATGGCCTTGGAACTTTCTTTGGGCATCAGTCCTATATTTTAGAAGCATTTGAACAGGATCACCTAGTCCAGCACCCCCTTTTGAAAAAGGATACACTGAGATCCAGGAAAAGGAAAAAGGGATCCAGGCAAGTCACCCAGTGAGTTGGTTGCAGAAAAAAGACCACCCCATAGGGTTGTTGTCAGGATTAAATGAGTTGATTTTAGTACAGCCCTCCGAACAATGCCTGGCACGTGGCAAACCCACTCGGTTGAGGCATTCACTAAATGGTCTGTGACTGAGAGTTAACTGAGGTCTCCACAACAAGCCTGCGAAGGATGCGCTTCAGTCTCCGTTTTACAAAATAAATGAGGCTCAGAGAGACCCATGAGCAGCCTGAGGGCAGGCGAACTGCCCCCGAGTTCATGCCTGTGTGACCCTGGAGTCTTCGCTCATGGCCCAGCCCCGTGTTCTTCCAGTGGCCCTGCGTCTCAGTAGCCTGATCCCAGTGGCAGCCTGCGAGGGGGGCCTTGACAGCCCAGCCCAGGGATGGGCAGTGTCATCCAGCCCTGAGCCCCTACGCTCCCCTCCCTGGGTGGCTGGGCCGATTTCTCTGAAGCCCAATCTCTTCGAGGAATCTAGAAGCTGCCCTCTGTGCTCCTTCTCCCTTGCCTAGGCCCACCTGCTAAGCCCACAGGAGTAGGGACCCACGGGGCCCTGGGTAGAGGCAGCTGCTCCGCCCCCCAGACCCCGCAGGCCCCTGAGCCCCCTGCGCCCTTCCCGTGGCAGGCTTTTTGGCACCACAGGCAACTGCGCTGCCTGCAGCAAGCTGATCCCAGCCTTCGAGATGGTGATGCGGGCCCGGGACAACGTATATCACCTCGACTGCTTCGCTTGCCAGCTCTGCAACCAGAGGTGAGTGCTGCACCTGTCACAGACCCCAGCTGACGCGTGCTGGAGCACCGGGCTGTGGGGGTGTCCGTGCAAATGTCCACGGGCTCGTAGGTCATGTTGTCTTGAGCATGCATGTGCGTTTGCGTGTTTCGTGTGGCCGGATGTGTGCCCTCCAGCACTGTTGTGTGCGTGTCTGTAGGGCCCAGGTCTGCGCGAGTGTGATGGCTCACATGTGTATGAGCTTACTGTGTATGTACATTGTGTCACACACGTGTGTGGATTTTTAAATGTGCACGTACAAGGCAGGTATGGGTGTGCTGTGTGTGCATGTGTGTGCATGATGGATGAGTATGAACGCAAACACACTTAAACATGCATGTACAAGGGGTCTGTGTGCATGCCCTGTGCCCTTGGGTGTCTGCCATATGTCTGTGCATGCATGTACATTTTAGTGAGAAGGTGTTCCTGTGCCTGGAAGACCATTCCCTTATGGTAGCAGCTACTCACTCCTGTGATTCTGGTTCCAGCCCAGCCACTTTCTGATCCCTGCAGTGTCCCAGCCCCGTGGGAGGCCCCAGGGACTGAAGGAGCCAGAACCCCTCAGCCCTGTCTGGGGACCTAGCACTGGAAGACAAGCCCTTTTCTCAGGAGCCCCCATGTCAGGAAGGAGCTCATGCAAGTGTTCCCAGAGGATGAGGTCCTGAGGGACCTGTAGGGAACACGGAGGGGGATCGCTGGGGGCTTGGACAGACCCGCCGCTCAGAGGGCTCGGTGAAGTTGCAGTGCCACCTGGTGGTTGGATTGGGATTTGCTGGGACTGGGCCCATGACCCTGGGGTCTGGCTGAAGCCCTAGCCACCCTGGGGACATCTTTGGGGAAAGGGCTGAATCCTCCAATACTTTAGAAGGACTAGGGGTGGGGGGTGGGGGTAGCAAAGCAAGGCCTTTTCTGGGTGGGAGGGAAGATAGTGGGACAGGGTCACCTCCTCCTGGAAGGATGCTCCAGGAAACCTACAGATTCTGTTCAAAGGAAGGGTTTCATGGAGTCATCCCCTTAAGTTGGGGAAAGGAACAGAAGGATGGAAAAATCACCCACTTTCCCCTCCCTCCTTCCCCATTTCTACCTCTCTCGATCTTTTTCTGTTTCTTTGTCCTTCTCTCTCTTTCTCCCTCTCTCGGACTGGGGTAGGTTATTCTTACACCTTCCCACCAACCCCACCCCTCCAGGGAAGACCTGACTGTGGGCCAGACTTGTCCGTCTGTCTGTCCTACATCCCAGACTACAGGGCCTGGCTGAGGACTGGGCTGACCCAGGGTGATTGACCAGGTTTGCTATGAGACCTTTGGGGATCCCTTCTGGAAAGTTGAAGGAACAAACTCTCCAGGACCTCAGTTCTCACATGTCCACCTCCTGGGCTGGGCTGGGGCCTGTCTGCAAAGCCCCCACCATCCACTGGGACCCCTCCATGGCCTCTCTCTCCTGCTTGGATTTTCCAGATTTTGTGTGGGAGACAAATTCTTCCTGAAGAACAACATGATCTTGTGTCAGATGGACTATGAGGAGGGACAGCTCAATGGCACCTTTGAATCCCAGGTTCAGTAATGCCCGGCGCCTGGCCTCCAGGCCCATCTGTCCGTCTGCCTGTCTGCCTGTCTGCCCATCTGCCCACCCGCCTGGCCGGCCAGCCACTCTCCTGCCGATTAGAACTCCTCCGTCCTCGATGGGAGGGACGGCCCTTCCTCTGCCGCCCGTCTGTGTGTGACCCCTCCTGGGGCCAGGCTGGGCCTGTACAGTCTGTCTTCTGTATATAAATGGGAACATTTATTTTATGAGAAATGTAATGCGATTTTATTACTGGCGTGGATTAAACTTATGAATGTTTCCGGGGAGGTTAATGTGCGTTGATCACCTGACTGACACAGACCTGGGGTCCCTCCCCTCTGCTTGGGAGTGAAGCAGGGCCCTCCCCTGGGCCCCTCCGGCGCCGGGCATGGAGCAGGGTGTGGGACTGCAGTGTGTGCTCTTGCTGAGCAGGGCAGGGGAGCTCCAGGCGGGCTTCAGGGGTAGAAGCTGGAGGAGGACAAGCCCGCGCATCCCATAGCCAGACACGAGACCGGGGGGGGGGGGGGTCCTCCCCTGGCACCCAAGATGAAGAGAGGCAAGATGAAACCCTCCCTTCCCTGGGTTCCTGTGTGCCTCCCTCCACTGAGGCCGCCGGCCAGGAACTCAGCCCTGACCTCCTCCCACAGTAAGACCCCGAATCCTGAGCCTTCTACCATGGGAACACCCTTCTCAAAACCCTCTTCCCTTTCAGGGTGATGGACAGCGTTTGCTGTCTCCTCCCTGCAGCTGGGGCCTGCTCTGGGGCCCCCCTTTCTGCTCTTCTGGGTGAGCGAGAACAGTCCCGTTGGCCTGTATTCAGCCCACGCAGGCTGGAGGCTTTCATTCATTCGTTCAGCAAACCTTAATCCACTCTGTCTCAGCCCCATGCTGCAAGCACCAGACATGCGGATGAATCATGGATCAGACACAGTCCCTGCCCTTGAGGAGGAGGGAGAAAGCCAGGAAAACGAGTGGAGCCCAGCACAGTGAGGACGAAGCCCGCAGGGAGAGCTGGGACGGGCCGGTTGCCTTCCGCGGACCAGCACCACTTGCGACAACTGCAGAGTCAGACAGCGCGCCCAGTGGACACACGCAGTCAGACAGATAGGCGCCCTGGCGGGCAGGAGACCCGGACACGCAAGCCGATGCGCGTGTAGGCAGAAGTAGGCGGGGCCAGCAGCCAGCCCGCTGCCCTGGGTGTTGTCTGTGCACCGCTGGGCCCGGGCTCCCCCGGGGCAGCTGGAGGGCTGTCTTGCTCTCTCGGCTGCAGCCGCAGCACCAAGCACAGAGCCTGCACCCTGGAAGGCAGCACTGAGTGGTATGAAAATAGGGACTTGTTGGAGCCAAAGGCCGGACGGGGAAGCCTGTATGGACAGGCTCCTCCCACCGTCAGGCCGCTTGCTTCTCCTCCTCCGGAGACTGTTCTCAGCCTGGCCTCGGCCCAGAGCCCAGGGCGGATGGAGCCTACCCACTGCTTCTAGCTCTGCCTGCTCCTGGATGGGGAACCGCCTGTCACCCTGCCCCAGGCCTGCCCCTCCACTGGGAGTGATGTGGCTACCTCCCCACATTGTGGTTTTGTGGCCAGTGGCCCAATCCGTGGGCAGGGATCGCTAGGGTCAAGGATCTCGGGGTAAGGGTTCTCATCCGTGGGGCATCCCCCTTCTGTGACGGAGCCACGCCTGCCTGTGTGACAGAGAAGAGGGGCAAAGAGCCAGGCGGCCTGGCCGCAGTGGGGGTTTTGTGTGTGATGTGTCTGATGTGACTGTGGAACTAGGGAGCTGTGTGTGGCCGTGTGAGTTGGGGACCGAGTCGGAGTGCATGAATTTGCAGGCTGGAGGCTGGAGGCTGTGGCAAGGAATTTTCTCGCTCAGCTTGGAAAAGTGAGTCATTTCCCTGAACGGTAGCAGAGCGCCCCCCCCCCCCCCCCCCCCCCGCCCCATGCCAGACCCTCCCTGGGCCCTCAGGCCAAGGAGGGCTCTGCCCACCCCTAGGCCCCCAACTCCTAACTTCAGAGTTTACTGCAGATGAAGTTGTAACACAAGTTAATTACATGGTTATCGAGAGATAACGGAGCCACTCGAATGCAGTTTCTGGGCAATTACAATTGTTTCCAACAGAGTTCCCATATTGCAGCCATGAAATAACATGTCGTTTTGCAGTAATTATGTAATTAACTTGTCTCACCGCTCTAGGTTGCACAACAATTAATTCACTCACAAATGAGATAGACTCAACATCAGGCAGCCGGCCTCTGAAAGCCCCCGAGAGCAGAGCCGGCCTTCTAGGAGGACCCCAGCCCCGTTCTGCCCACCATAGACCTTGCCAGGGGGCTTCCTCAGTTCAACATGTGGTGGAATGTGCCAGATCCAGCACCATGGCCCCACTTATGGCTGTGTCATGAGCCCCATCCAGGACATGGGGCTCATCTGTTTCCGAGGGCAGCCATGAGGCAGAGATCTAAACTGTGAAGTGCTGTGCTTATGAGAGCTGGAGTCACCATCCTGGACATCATGATGTGCTGAGTGGGAGACCCTTCGCCTGGGAAGTGCCGCGGCAGTCCACAGCTGCTCCCAAGAAGAGGCCACACAGGCCTTGCAGACATGCGGCTGGTGTGGGACCAAAGGGAAGGTGGGGGTGGGCAGAGAGGAGGTTGGGCTCTTCCTGTAGCAGCAGGCAGCAGGGCAGGGCTGCTGTGGCTACTTGGCGCCAGGGATTATGCACCTGGGGAGTGTGCCAGGGGCTCCCAAGAAAAGCCTGATCCCCCTCCCCAGCCACAGTGGCATAGGGGAAACTTGGTTAAGTGCAGAGCGTGAATGGCTCTGACCCGGCTCTCCTTGGGGCTGCAGCAGGAGGCTTCCTGTCTCCTAGGGGGAGACAGGAAGCACCAAGCATGGATAGCTAGAGGCTGCAGCAGCTCGAGCCTCAGCCCGGGCCATGTGGGTGGTAGCAATGTGGACGGACCAACGTCATGTGGCAGTCGTGCACGGTCCCCTCTTCCTCCAGCCAGCCCGAGGGACCCCATCTTTCCTCCTTGCACTCCTTGGTGGCCTGTGTCAGAGACACCCTAACAAGGGGCCTGGCACCCACAGAATATGGCTCCTGCTTATGCCCCACTCCTTGGCCTGAAGCTGAACCACATAGTCTGTGTATGAAAAGAAATTTGATTCCAATCTTGACAGTGCTGCATGGCCCACCATGAAATCTCTCTTCTCCCAGGCCTTGCCCCAGAACTGTGCCCCACATCATGAGATGCACAGGATCCAAGGCAGAATCCACACGAAATTTCTGCCTAGGAAGTCTCATCTCTGTGTGGAGACAATTGCTTTCTCCCTTAAAGCTGTCAGGGATCGTCACAGCCTGACTGCCTATGTCTGGCATGGAGTGCTCCCCAGCACCACCGATCTAGGGACGCTGCCAAGTGAGGGTAGATTCAGGAAAGATGCTTTGTGCTGCAACTGTGCATGACCTCTAAAACTATTAATTGCCTAAAAGTGAATGACAAAGATGGACTGCTGTGAAGATCAGTTGGTCCAGAAAAATACTTGGTCAAGCCTGGTTTAATCATGAGAAAATAATCAGATGAAACACACACACACAAATACACAGAGCTCAAGAGTGCTAGATAATCAGAAGCCCCTGGACAAGGTAATCCCTGTCCCTGGGGTTCATACTGCCTTGTCTCAACAAGGGCGGGAGTCTCTTGCCCCCCACATGTAGGATTGAGGGGTATCCCAGAGCTCTCAGACTCCCAAGAGTCAAGTAGACTACGAGTCGATTGTTCCTGAGCTCCCTCCTGTTGCTGCCATATTTGTCACCCAGCAATAGCCCCTCCTACCAATTGGTCTGCCCCCAGCCTAGCAGCACCTCTGCGTTCCTGCCTGCTCCCACGGCCACGCTGAGCTCCCTGCGAGGCTCCAGTGGTCTCCAGCACTCACCACCCCTCCCCTCCGGGCTGTGGCTGGTGTTTGTGCTTACACGAGTTTCACATCACACGTCTTTCTGTGGTTTCTCCTTTTTACACCTGCACCCGCTTCATGGAACAGGCGACCTCCCTTGCTGGCACTTGCCTCTGGACCCTCTCCAGGGGCTCAGGGCCAGACCCAGGAAGGGGAATGCAGGTGCTGCTCAGCACATCCATCAGGACGCGGGCAGAGCGAAGGGCGCTTTACTATACAACTTCCGTAGCAGGAAAAGAAGCTGAGGCCAGGTTTCAGGCAGGAAGGAAATCTGCAGCTCAGAGAGAGAAATGAGCTTTTAAAGCCTATTTCCTGTGGAGGAAAACAGACTTGGATTCAAATATTTTGGACTCTCCCAAATGGTTTTTATTCTGGGGCATCAGCCTTTCCCTTTATGAACCATAGTGAAAAATCCTCTGAGCTGTGGGTTTCCCCAAATACCAATTTCTTCCTCTCTAGACACCCTTCCCCCCTGCAGACTGCACGCCTATGCAAGCCTTCCCATGGGTGCCGCCTGGACCTCAATTCTCTGAGCTTAGATGCTCCCAGCCCAACCCAACAGCCCAGTCTCCACACCATCCCACTGGCACTAGGTTTGGCAGGCCTTGTGGCCTTTGCAAGAATAGTATGAGCCCTTTGGCTGCTGGTGGCACTGGGTTGGGGTCTCTACTCCTTCGGTCCCCTGCCTTCTCCGGGGGTACAACTAGATTCCAGAGAGGAATTGGTCCAGGGGCTCCTGCCTGGGGCTTGATTTACATTCTTACCTCCTGAGTGGGGAGCCCCTTTGGGGCCTGGGGTTTCCTACAGTTCTGGCAAGTGCAGGTTTGTCTTTCTGAGAGTCTGAAGGTGCTAAAGGACAGAGGCAGGAACGTTCCCGGGGCACCCTCTTGTTGTAACAGGTCTCCCTGCTGCCCTTGGGATATGGGGCTCTCCCCACAGGGGTTCTGAGGGCTCTCCAGAATGACCCAGGATCCCCACCTCCTGCCTCCCTCCCGATCTGCCAGCACAGCTTAGGGATCAGAGATGGCACGCTTACCTGAGACAAGAGGAACAGAGAGGGAGAGATGAGAGGGAGGGGGAAAGGAAGGAAGGAAGGAAAGGGGAGGCTGAGAGAGAGAGAGACAGATGGGAAGAGATGAGACGGGGCAGGAGAGCAGGGAGAAAGAATGGGCAACAGGTCTGGGAAGAATCTAACTGCCGGGGAGGCGTGGGGTGAGGGCAGCTGTGGTGGCAAAGGACAGCGTGGCATGGCGGTCGCATGTGGCCAGGAGCCAGATTACGTGGGTTCAGACCCATAGCCTTTCTGCGTGGCAGCTGCCTGGCCTTCAGCA